GTGGTACAGAATTTAATAATAGATAGGAAAAGACAATATTTAGAAGGCATTTTTAAAAGCAAAAGCTAAAATAAAAACAACCGGTTTCGTCCCAGGACTTATCAAGTTTATTTATTCTGGGAATTTAAAAAAGCGTGTAAATTAATTTTTAATTAACGAATGTAATCGAATAGGGAAAAATGAATTTCAAAAACTAGTCAAATAATATTCAGATCCAACAAGCATTCCTCTGTTTACAAAGGAAGGCTCACGGATCTGATATTCAAAACTCTAGAACCTTGTGGTGAAATGTGGAGTGGGACCTAGATAAAATTATAAATCGATCACCACTAAAATTTTCCGCACATTTTCTTCTATTTATTAAATGTTCAGCAATAGCAGAACCAGAACTGTTAGTCAGTTGGCTATTTCTGAAGGACAGATTCAAGATCCTTAGGGGTAAATGCTGTTTTATTCTCGAATTCATAAACACACACACACACACACACACACACACATATATATATATATATATATATATATATATATATATATATATATATATATATATATATATATATATATATATATATATATATATATTATTATTTTAATGGCAAGAACAGAAACATAAACAATAAAATTAATGTTTCTTATAAAAATCAATGAACGAAAAATTATGAACAGGATGAAAGCAGAATTAAGAACATTATAAAAAATGAATAACACCAGTTGACAATAACCAAAAAATTAGATTAATTATTTATTGCAAAAAATTTAAAACATCAAAACTTAATAATAATAATTCACCTCCTATAACAAAATTAAATAGGGCAAATATTATATACGAATTTCAATGCCCATTAAGAAAATTGTATTCGTGTTCAATCAAAATTCGAAAATAATTATATAGGCAACACTACAACATGTTTGACACGCAGACTCACTCTATACCTTTCTGACCATAGCTCAATTAGATCTCATTTAAATATTCATGGAGACCTACCGGACACTATTCGTAACATACCTGTTGACAACACTAATATAATAGCATCATCTACATAAAAAAAGGCTAAAAAATAATGGAAGCCTTAATAATAAAGGCAAAAAAAAAATTTAATAATATTAACTTTGAACATGAGCAGAATATCTTGACCGTGTTTTGAAAAATAAAAACATTTTATAAAACATACATACAAAAAACTATTTCTTATTTAACAGTTAAAATATTTAATCCTTGAAAATAGCTAAATGTGTAGCCGAAAGCGCTCGGATAAAAAGAACATTCAGACAGTTTTTATATAATTTATCATCTGAAAAGAAAAAAAATTAGATTGCACGAGAAATTGTATAAAAAATTAAATAAAAGCACCTTGTCTATCGTATTCAATGAAATGTGCATGAGAGAAGGATTGCTGTTTAAATACAAAATTATATATATATATATATATATATATATATATATATATATATATATATATATATATGTATCTTACTTATTATAAAACGCAGATTTTGTGTGTGTGTGTGTGTGTCTGCAACGTTTATATATTGGATCGGATTTCCTACATTTTTCAACCGATTTCAACAAAACTTCACAGGACTACATAAAATTACCTTGTGGTGGTTTTAACAGCGGCAAAAATGGAAATGTATAGTTGTTTTTGCACAAAATCAATTTGAAAACACGATTAAGAGACATCGTGAAAATGGAAGGGGCCAACTCACATCGGGTTGTTTGTGTGTGTGGGTTCCTTTAAATATGGGATCGGATTTCCTATATTTTTCAGCTGATAAAACAAAACTGCACTTTTTTTTTGGCAGGTAGTGTTTCTTATTCTCTTACACACTTTTTTCTTTATATTTAATATTCAGAATGCTTCAAAAATTCCATTTACACGACAATTATTTATAATAAAATTCTATTCAATCGGGAGACTCATAACAATTGAAAACAATGTTTTTGTTTGAGTTTGGGTTTGACCAACTCGTAAAAAAAAAAAAAAAACTAATTAAGACATGCGTGTCCGTCAACCTTAAACAATAATCTAACGATCTCTACTGATTGTAGGAATACAAACATCGGATAAGTCTTTATCTTTAGGGAAAGATAATGAAATCTAAGCATACACAAGTCCTAACTAAAAATAATAACCGGAACGGGAAACTACTTTAAATACACATGGTGTCGAATTTTTTTACTGTATTCAATAATAAAAATCATAAATTGTAAAAGATTATTATTACAGAAAGGCTACTAAATGAATAAGATTTGTTAGATCATAATTAATAAACCCAAGTTAATATTTTTTGTATTAGAAACAACGAGTGGAAAATATATTAAAATCAGAATTCTAATTATGAATCACCACAAGGACAATATGCAATTTTTAATACTATATTCAATAAGTAAAAATCATAAATTGTAAAACTGAAAGATTACAGAAAGGCTACCTACATTTTTCAACCGATTTCAACAAAACTTCACTTTTTTTTTGCATGTAGTGTTTCTTATTGTCTTGCACACTTTTTTCTTTATTTTTACATTCAGAATGCTTTAAAACTTCCATTTACAAGACAATTGTTTATAATAAAATTCTATTCAATCGGGAGACTCATAACGATTGAAAACAATGTTTTTTTTTTTGAGTTTGGGTTTGACCAATTCGTAAAAAAAAAAAAAACTAATTAAGAGACGCGTGTCCGTCAACATTAAACAATAATCTTTGTCAATTTTATTTTTCAGTCTTTATGATGGTCGATACTTGATCTATCTCTTACTGTTACATCCCCGGGCCACGCCGGGCTCTATTGCTAGTAATTAATAAACCCAAATAAAGTTAATATTTTTTTATTAGAAACAACGAGTGGAAAATATATTCAAATCAGAATTCTAATTATGAATCACCACAAGCAAAATATGCATTTCTTTTACTGTATTCAATAAGTAAAAATCATGAATTGTAAAACTAAAATATTACAGAAAGGCTACCAATATTTTTCAACAGATTTCAACAAAACTTCACTTTTTTTTGGCAGGTAGTGTTTCTTATTTACTTGCACACTTTTTTCTTTATTTTTACATTAAGAATGCTTTAAAAATTCCATTTACAAGACAATTGTTTATAATAAAATTCTATTCAATCGATAGACTCATAACGATTGAAAACAATGTTTTTGTTTGAGTTTGGGTTTGACCACTTCCTAATAAAAAAAAAAGAAAAAAACTAATTAAGACATGCGTGTCCGTCAACCTTAAACAATAATCTTTATCAATTTTATTTTTCAGTCTTTATGATGGTCGATACTTGATCTATCTCTTGCTGATATATCCCCGGGCAACGCCGGATTCTACTACTACTATATATATATATATATATATATATATATATATATATATATATATATATATAAGTTATTTATGGATCAAAGTTTTTTCAACATCAGGGATAGAACGTATGTAATGATAAAAGTGGAAATTCAAGTGAACAACCAGTACATAGCCTGATGATTGCGTTCAGCATGAAACAGACAGGCGTATGTGGGTTTTGACTCTTAATCTCTTCACCTTCAGTAATCGTGGCGTCTTAATGGCTTTAAATCGTCTTGATTGAGGTGAAATGATTTTTTAAAAAGACGTAAATACACGTGTCTTCATTCCCACTTGTCACTTGTGAAAGTTCTGTGATAAATTCACATGTTTTTTTTTTCTTTTACACGTCGCTAGTCACCATCATTTTGGGGTACATTCACTCACACCATAGGAGTAGTAGAATTTTAAGCTGGTTTTTACAAAGATCAAAACAGGAAAATAAATGTGTACAATACAAAGAAGGCGTGAATAATTGTATTGTAATTTCATACAATTTTATTTATATGTTTGTGTGTTTCTGTGTGTTTTACATTACAAATGTGATAATATTATTTATGTTATAAAAGGGTAGAAGTTATTCTATAACATCACAAGTCCTATCACGGAGCGAAGTTACACACGTGTTGTCATCCCGATAGTTCTTGAATCACACATCTTTTGGTGGGTTGTCCATATTTCCAGCCAAAACAGTTTTGGTTTTTTTTTCATGCTGGGAGTAATTTTTGTTATTTTTAATTTTTTTTAATTTAATTTATTTTAAACAAGGTTTAAATATTATTGTTTAATTCTATTTTATATATAATTTTCATTATTATTATATTTATTTGTAACAATGATAATATATCCTGCTTCATGCTTTCCACTCAACTTTGAACTTAAAAAAATTGCATACACTATCAATCGCAGTCTGTCTATATTTCTGTGATGAGGTATTATGTACATTATTTACATTATAGGCAGATACTGAAAGGCCGAAACGTTGTAATAAATATGGCGACAAAGATGAGGACAATAGTCCGAATAATGTAAATAGTTTACATAATACCTCATCTCAGAAATATAGACAGATACTGAAGGGCCGAAACTTTGTAATAAATATGGCGACAAAGATGAGGACAATAGTCCGAATAATGTAAATAATGTCCTATCAATCGCTATCTTCTGTTTTCGTGATTCCTGTGTTTTATTGATCTATCTCCTTAATAATGTTTTTGCTTTTCTTATAATGACGCACACTCGGTAAACTTTACTACCCTTGCGTCCTAGTGGCTTTATTGCCTTGCTTGAGGTGAAATGATTCAAAAGAAAACATAAATAAAATGAAATATGTGGGAGTGATAGACAAAACGAATATCATATGAAAGCGAGGGAGTACAAAAACATGGGAGGATAAAAATAATTTAATATAAGACAAGCAAACAGAATTAGAAAGGGAAAGAGTTCAAGGAACAAAGTTCAGTTGAAGTAGTTGAAAAATTAAGAAAAAAAAAAAAAGAGGAGAAATAAGAAAAAAAAATATGTCGGCTTCCTTTCTAGGTTGACGTTTGTCACGTGACCGGATATAGACGCGTCACAGTGGGATTGGCGGAAACAGGATGGCGACTGTGGTGTTTTTACTGTTTGTGTTGATGGTCAACGCTGGACGACGATGAAGGGTAGGGTCCCTGAAAAAGGCAGGACATATTCGAGGGGACGAAGACAGGAGTGTTAGCGTCTGGTCAAGCTTCGGGCTTCTGTAATAAGAATCGGAGCCAGACGTGGACGTCATGGGGATGACGAGATAATTATGATAATAGTGATAATTATGATTATAATGATTAAGGCAATAAAGACAGAGACTAACATGCGGTTTCTAACCTTTCTGTACTAAAAATAACTGCAGTTATAAGAAAAATAGTTACTATAATTCGCATCCTTTTTCTTTCTTTCTTTCTTTCTTTCTTTCTTTCTTTCTTTATTTCTGTCTTTCTTTCGGTCTTTCTTTTTCTTTCTTTTTGTCTTTATACCTTCTGTTTTTTTTCTTTTCTTCTGTCTGTCTTTTTTTTTATCTTTCTTTCTTTCCTTCGTTCTATCTGCTTGTCTTTCTTACTGTATTTTCTTCGGTCTTTCTTTTCTTTCGGTCTTTCTTTTTCTTTCTTTTTTCTTTTTTTTCTTTTTTTTCTTTTCTTTCTTTTTTTCATTCTGTCAATCTCTCTTTTCGTCCTGCTTTCTTACTGTCTTTTCTTTCTTTCTTCCTTTCACTTTCTTTTTTTTTTTCCTTTCTTTCTTTCTTTCTTTTTCTTTCAGTCTTTCAGTCTTTTTCTTTTTTTTTGTCTTTCTTTTCCTTTCCTTCCTTCTTGCTTTCTGCTTGTCTTTCTTACTGTCTTACTATGTACCTTTCTTTCTTTTTTCATTCTTTCTTTCTGTCGATCTATCTTTCGTTCTGCGTTTGATTCTTTCTTTCTTTCTTTCTTTCATGTTTTTCTTCCTTTCTTTTAGTCTTTCTTTCTGTCTTTTTTTATCTTTCTTTCTTTCTGTCAGTCTGTCTTTCTGTCAGTCTATCTTTCTGTCAGTCTTTCTTTCTTTCTTTCTGTTTTCCTTCCTTCCTTCTTTCTTTCTTTCTTTCTTTCTTTCTGTCAGTTTTTGTTTCTTTCTTGGCTTACGGTCGTATCAGGTTGAAACACCAGTATGATCACCGAAGTGGAGCAATGCAGAGCCTGGTCTGTATCTAGATGGATGTGGGCTTGTAAATACTGGTGGCCTAACAGAACATGATCAGAGTGAGTTTTCTAATCTGTCGTACCTTTGTAATTACCATTAGACTCATCCAATTGATTCCTCTGCCCTGTCCTCGGATTGACACCCAAGAACCCGGAAATGTTCGCATTGGACATTCCGATGCGAATGCCAAGCAATACAGCATGCCGTTACAAAATTTCTAGCGACGTGATTTGTGCTGTTCTTTTCAGTGTCTAAACTGATCCTACTACACTGTGCAGTCGACAAAATCAAAAACAAACAAAGCGCATGCGCGAAATTAAAAATATTTAATGACGACAACTTACCCAGGAGATGATTGTGTAGCCATAATTACAGTGGTGGCATATCAACCACTATGGGTTATTTAATACCGAAATCTAATCTGTATTAGGTCACCAATTATTAAAGAAAGATTTTTTTTATTATTCTTTTCTTAAAATTATATTCTTCTGTTTGCTGTTTCGTATAATTCCTTGCTGGTTTATTTCCAGAAACCTATAATAAGTCAAGGATAGTAAATATACGCATTCTGTTTATACAAATTCAGATGTTAAGTGAAATTTAATATATAGAGAAGTTCATATTTTCTTTAATATTCCCTATTGAGACAAACGGCTGTACTGGCCATCAACGCGACAAAGTGAACGAAACGCAGACAACACGAATGGAATGCAACTGAAACAATAGTAACATGATGGGAAGCGTACTCATTTTAAAAATTTCCATCAGTTGTTCAGTTAGTAAGAGATTTGAATCTGCTGACATTTAGTTGGTTCACCCTAGAGTGGGGGCGTTTGCAGTTTGCGTAGGTAGCTATCCCCATGCGTTTAAGGGTTGAAAGGTCGCTGAATTCTGGATATTTTTTCAGAATATGTACCTTAAGGGGTTTGTCGAATTTACAGTCGTTCGTGTAAACAATACAGCTGTTTTTCTCAAAACAAGTGACCTTCGTTCTAAGATTTGTATTTTTAAATATTTTTCATACTTGTATGCGAGTTTTAAAAAATAGCTTGAAGACAAACATAATGACCTAATATATGAATCGTTAAACACTGCCTTTTCTTTTTCTTTTCAAAAATCGTGCTCTTCTATAAGTGCATCATTATTATTATTATTATTACTACTACTACTATTATTATTACTACTATTATTAATATTACTACTACTACTACTATTACTACTACTACTACTACTGCTACTACTACCATTATTATTATTATTATTATTGCTTTATTTCCATTGGTTTCTGGTGTATACTTTCCCGCTCTCAAGAGACCTAAGGTCAAAAATGGCAGCATCACATTTTCTACTGAGCAGTTTTGAAAAAATATATCGCACATATTTTACAAAGATAAAGTCCTTCGTAAGGTGTGAGCTATACTTGTGACTACAGTTATTATTATTATTATTTTTATTTTTATTTCCTTTGATTTCTGGTGTTTACACATTTCTTTCCGGATCCCGCCCAGGGACCTAAGCTTAGAAATGGCATCATGACACTTTCCACTGACAAAAAAAAAAAAAAAAAATTACATAGATAAAGCCTTTCGTAAAGTGTGGGCTGTACTTGTGAGAATAATTTTTTGTATCTCCTTGAGGCATAGACATCCAGGAATCCCTTCAATTAGTCTACTGCAATCTTTTCCAACCAGTCCTAGGGCTCCAACTACAACAGGGATTGTTGATGTTCCCATATGCCACATTTTTGAGATTTCTATTTCAAGGTCCTTGTATTTTGACAGCTTTTTGAATATCTTCAAAGATACATTTCAGTCAGCAGGGACTGCCATATCAATAAGGAGGCACTTTTTTTGTTTGTGGTCTTTAATAACAATATCTGGGCGGTTGGCTTTGATTGTTCTGTCAGTGTGTATTTATTATTATTATTATTATTATTATTATTATTATTATTATTATTATTATTATTTTATTTCATTTGATTTCTGGTATATACTCATTGTTTCATGATATATTCCACTGAGCATTTTTGAGAGAAAAAAAAACAAACAAAAAAATCAAACTAAGATCATGTATAACTTACATCGATAAAGTCCTTCGTAATGTGTGGGCTGTACTTGTGTGTACAATATTTTGTATTTCTTTAAGGCTTTGACTACCAGGAATCGCTCCAATGAGTCTATCAGAATATTTCTCAATCAATCCGCGGGCTCAAACTACAATTGAATTTGTTGATTTGTTGTTTTGAAACTCTTCAAAGATATATTGCAGATTACATGGACTGCCATGTTAATAAGAAGACATGTTTTCTCTTTACGGACTCTAATAACGATGCCAGGGCGATTAGCTTTGATTGTTCTGCTTGTGTGTATTGTAAAGTCTCATAGAATTCTTGCAGGTTCTATCTCCTTAACCAGGCCGGGGTGGTGTTCATACCAATATCTTGCAGTTTCCTTTCCGTAAAAGTTGCAGATTTTCCAGTGCAAATAATCCCACTGGGTTATGCCGTATTTTATATTCATTGGGTGCCAATACCGTGCAAACCGATACAAGATGGTCAATGGGTTACCAGGAATCTCTTCAATGAGTCTAATGGAAAATTTTCCTATCAATCCGAGGGCTCCAACTACAAGGGGCTGATGTCCTCATGTGTAATATTTTTACGATTTCGATTTCAAGGTCCTTGTATTTTGATAGATTTTTGAAGACCTTCAAAGATGTATTGCAATCACTGCCATGTTAATAAGGAAGCACATTTTTCTTTGCCGTCTCTAATCACGATGTCGCGGCGTTTGGCATTGGTTGTTCTGTTTAGTGTATATTGTATAGTCACATAAAATTGTTACAGGTCCTATTTCCGTAACCGGGTAATGTTGGTGTTCATACCAATTTCTTGCAGTTTCCTTTCCGTAAAAGTTGCAGATCTTCCCGTGCAGATATTGGCCTGCTCTGTCATGAGGGTTTTTATATTCAGTGTGCGCCAATATCGTGCAACCCGATACAACATGGTCAATTGTTTCCGGATACTTAGCACAGAATCTACATTTTGAACTATTATTATTATTATTATTATTATTATATTTCCTTTGATTTCTAGTCCATACTCATTTCTTTCCGGGTCCCAACCAGAGACCTAAGGTCAGAAATAGCTTCATCAAATTTTCCACTGATCATTTTTTCGGAAAAAATCCTAAAACACACATATTTTACATAGATAAATCCATTCGTACGGTGTGGTCTATACTTGTGAGTACAAACTTTTGAATTCCTTTAAGGCATAGGCTAAAAAGCAATCCCTTCAATGAGTCTGCGAATATTTTCCAATCAATCCGAGGGTTCCAAATACAGCTGGATTTGCTGATGACTTTATGTGTCAAATATTTGGGAGTTGGATTTCAAGATGCTTGTATTTTGAGAGTTTTTTGAAAATCTTCCAAGATACATTATAATCTGCAGGGACTGCCATGTCAATATGAAAGCGCTTTGTCTTTTTGCTGTTTCTGATCACAATGTCTGGGCGATTAGCTTTGATTTTTCTGTCGTGTGTATTGTAAAATCACGTAAAATATCTCCGTAACCGTTATTATTAGTTGTGTATATTGTCACCTGCTTTGTATCCTGTAGAGCCGCCGTTCTGGGTAAGACGATAAAATGCATCTGCGTCCTGTGTAAGACGATATACCTCACCGAAACAGCAAGGCCTCTGATCAGGTTTTGAAAAGCGTGGAACCACTTGTTAATTGCTGGTTTTCCCAGATCTACCTTTTAGGGTCCCAGCTATGGGCAAATAGTTAACCCCCAAACTGGGGTCAAAACACTATGAAAGTGTAAAAATAGGTTTTAATACCAGCAATACATTTTTGCAAAAGGTTATTACCAGCAATGAATTATTACGGGCAATACATAAACAAATATACCAGCAATACATTTTTGGAAAAAAATATTAGCAGCAATATATTTTTGAAAAAAAAATACCAGCAATAAAAAACCATGTCGGCATTAAATAAACCATTGAGGTTGATATGCCAAACCAAACCTGTAGAGCGGAGTCCAAACTATAGTTCTTATGGTACTATAGAAGAATTGTCATTTAAATAATAGCTCTTTTCTTAATATATGGGATGTTCTTAGTAGGGCGATTTTCTGAACAACTTGTTTGTTGGTGTTACAGGGGACAATGTTAGTAAAACTCTCCATTCCTTTTCTCACGAGGCCCAGAGTTCCAATTACTAATGGTACTGTCTCAGTCTTCATCCCCCACATTCTGTTAATCTTGATGTTCAGGTCCTTGAATTTTGACAATTTCTCCATCATTTTCATGGAGTTCTTTCTCTCATATGGTACTGTTATATCAATAAGCATACACTCCCTGAATTTCTCATCTTTCATAGAAATATCAGGTCTTTTTATTTTCCTGTCAGTTTGAATTGGCATATCCCAGAGGATAGTTACATCGTTATTTTAGCTAACTGTGTGTGGTTGGTGCTCATACCATCTCTCAGTGGTTTCGATTTGGTGCTTCTTGCATATCGCCCAGTGCACATATATCGCTAACGTTTTATGTCTGTGTGTATATTCATTTTTGCTAGTTCCGGCCATCCTGAGATAATATGCTCGACATCTTCATCATATTTCCCACACATCCTGCATTTGGGGTTAGTTCTATCCTTGATTGTGTGACAGTGATAGGATCTGGTTTCGAGGTTTTGGTCCTGAGTTGCAATAATTAGGCCTTCTGTCTCAGCTTTCAACTCTGTGTTCCTCAGCCACTAATGTGATTTGTTTTGCTCCACATCTGATTTTTTGTTCTTTTTAGATATTTGATAGCACTACCTCCCAACAACTACTATGGCAAATTCCTCTTTTGGGGTAATTTCGCATTATTTATCATCTCTCAGTTGCGCCTCTGTCTTTGAACAGAGTCCTTTCAGTGGCTTCTATGTCAAAGGACAGAGGGGCAACTGAGGAAAATTATACTGAAGAGGTGCCCAGCCCTGGGGAACAGCTGCCTGAAGCCGCGCCCTCCCATTGCACCAGAGGGAGGAATCGGTGCTCGCACCGAGGCCAGTGCAACTGACGGTTGCGGGGGCTGAGGGGAATTTTTGTCCCTGCCCGGGTGTACGCGCTCGGGCTCCCCACATTAATCCGACCTTGTGTCACATCTCATTCTCGTGGGGGAATGAGTAAATACCACCTCCCAACAACTACTACACTTTCCATTATAAAATGTTCTCCTGAAAATCGCCACCATAACTCTTTTTTGTCATAAAACTTTTTTATATTATACTTTATGGTTAGTTCAATATTAGATTGGGAAATACTTTCTATTCCTGGCTGACAACAAATCTAAGCCAGAAGAGAGTTCCCCAAACGAGAAGTACCGTGAGAGAGAAGACACTGTTAGCATAGAACTTACGGTTACATCTAGCCATTTCACCTGTAAAATGATGAGACCTTGCTGCCAATGTACAACGTTGCTTAAATTCAGAGTGTAGGTATCACAGCAGAAAGTTAATCAAAACATTACAATGAAAATATTTATAGAAATGACACACGTAAGATACGTTACGGCAGTTGAAAAGGGATTGTAGCCGAGATGCTAGGTCAGGATTAGTAAAATCGCAGATTCTTCTTTGGATCTTATCAAGAATCCCTAAATATGTGTCAGAAGAACCAAACCAGATGTGGGAGCAATATTTAAATCAAGGACGAATAGTAGACATAAATACGCAAGATCGATTCTGACGAGAAAAATTGTTTAAGGCGACATATTAAATTAACTTTCTTAGCAGCAGATTTATACTAATCACTCTGTCTTGCTATTTAGTCTATAGCTAGAGGAGAAGAAATGGATTCATACCTTTCTCAAAGGGATTAACATCTAAAAGGATATAATGAACCCGACCGGAATTCGATCTCGGTTCTCCGATTTCTCAGTCAGTGTTGCTATCCCCCGTGCCTCCATCAATTACATATAGGTTTATAAAATAATCGGCATTAACTCTAGATATATAAAAAATCCGACATTAATTATAGGCTTTTGCAGTACTAGGCAATGTTTATTAAATAAAATGAAAATAAAAAAATCTGAAATCCCCTGAAAAGTATCGCCTACTTATAATCTCCTAAACACCTCATTAACCATAACACCATAATTCTTAATGACAGGTCAGTTAGGCAACATGGTCTCTGAAACCAGATGCTTGGATAAACAAAACAAACGATCAAAAAACCCTAGACCAAAGCGAAGTACAATCCTGCATTACTCACAACAGTAGTGACCATTTACTGATATGAATATAAACCAAGGAAAAGAGGGTTTTGGGAGCCAATTCTCTCTACACTTTCGGCAGAATGTCTGTCAGTTTGGTCTACTCCTATAACCATGAAATCTTTGTCTACTCATATAACCACCAATTATATATATATATATATATATATATATATATATATATATATATATATATACTACTTATACGAACTTATTGTGAGCAACGAAATCTGTCATACAGGAAGGATACAATTTTTTACTCATGACAAATAAAATAAACCTTCCAAAAACAAGGTTGGCTCATCGTCCATCAATTTTGAATGTAGAACAGAACTTTCTAGGCCAGCTTCGGCAGTTTGGACATATAATTTAATGCTCGCCATCTCATTTTTCGTCCTCTATACTGGTATCTATAGCCTTTGTAGGGGTAACCTATATTGTTCTATGTAGCCTTGGTAGCGGTAACTTATACCGGTATATATGGCCTTGGTAAGAGTTAAACTATACTTGTATCTCTCACCTTGGTACGGGTAAACAGTCAAGTAGATGGTGAGATTTGAATTCCGTATCAGACTGAAGTCAACTGAAAACCACACTAACATTTCCAGGAGCAATCAGGGCAATATATAGTTTACACAGATTAAGAAAGGGGTGGTTGTAGAGGGCCATAATTATCTACGTCCCGGAGGAACATGGTAATTTTATAAAATGGATTTGTCTTTCAAAGGTGGGACAAGGGACAAGAATATGCCTAGGCTATAAAACAAATTACATTAGCGTAAAACCAAGTAATAGAAATGTCACAAATTTTAAACGCACTCATTCTCTCGCCACGAACGTACTCACCTGAAAGCGTTATTTTCTTCCTTCATTGTTATATATATATATATATATATATATATATATATATATATATATTTAATCATCTTTGTTCAGCTGTTTCTTTCACTGATGCCATTCTTTCGCCGTTTTTGTATTTTCTTTTTTATTCGTTTGCTCTCCGTTGGGAAGAGACCTCCCACCCACCGGAACCTGAGTAAATCTAATCACTCCGAAGTATTGATCACTTTATAAAAACGATCATGCTTTGCCCTGTGCATTAATGACCTGTGATTACTTTTACAAACGGTCGCAACCATGGCGAAACATGGCCGCCAACAACTTCCCCTTCTTCGTTCTCGCTTTTACTTTTGCTCTCTTTGTACCGGAAGCAGCAAAGACGATTGTTCACACAATCCAACTGAATTGCATATTTGTTTACTTCCATTTCTCTAGAATCATTTGCTTGCTTGTCTGTCGAGCTGTTTGCAGAAATAGATGCTTAACTCTCTTTATAATTGTCAACAGAGATTATTTTCCATTTCCTTTCTTTTTATTTCTCTTTCTCACCGGCTCTAGCCTTCTTTGCATTTTTCTTTCTTTCTTTCTTTCTTGCTTTCTTTCATTCTTTCTTTCTTTCTTTGTCTTCTCTTGTGCTTATAAATCCTTTCTTTTTTATTCCTTAATCTCTTAATCTATATTTGCTTCTCCATTTCCCTTTCACTGTAGTTACATAGTCTGTCTGTCTGTTTGTTTGTCTTTCTTTCTTTCTTTCTTTCTTTCTTTCTTTCTTTCTTTGTCTTCTATTCTACGTATAAATCCGTTCTTTTCTGCTTTCTTACTGTCCATTAATATTTGCTTGCTTACACGCTCATTTTTCTTCATCTTTCATTGTCTTTACATTATTCTTTCATTTTTCAATCCTTCTTTCTATTACAAACGTTCGTTTCTTTCTTTTAACTTTATTCTTTAAAAAGAATTTTCTTTCATTTCATTTCCTTCATCCGAATATACGTTTCTGCTTCATCAATCTTTTTTTTTCTTTCTTTCTTTTCCAGGTTTTACTTTGGTCCTTCCTCTTACCACAATCGCATTACTTTCTGGTTCATTTCTTTTTTTTCTTTATTTCTTTCTTTCTTTCTTTCTTTCTTTATTTATTTATTTATTTATTTTTATTTAATTCTTGCATAAGAAATCATTTATCTTTACCTATTTCTTATTTTGCAGTTTCTTTGTTTGTTTGTTTGTTTGTTTGTTTGTTTCTTTCTTTCTTTCTTTCTTTCTTTTATTCTCCAGTAATTGTATTTCTTTTCCTTTTTCATATTTTTCAGTTTCTTCCTTTCTTTCTTTCTTTCTTTCTTTCTTCCTTTCTTTCTTTCTTTCTTTCTTTCTTTCTTTCTCCAGTAATTGTATTTCTTTTCCTTTTTCATATTTTTCAGTTTCTTTCTTTCTTTCTTTCTTACTTTCTTTCTTTCTTTCTTTTCTTTCTTTTCTCCTTGATTTTTCTTCTTTGTTGCTCGCATTGTTGCTCTCATCATGATTTTCTTTTTCTTTTTCTTTCTTTCTTTCTTTCTTTCTTTCTTTCTTTCTTTATTTATTTATTTTTTATTTATTTATTTATTTCTCCAGTAATTTTATTTCTTTTCCTTTTTCATATTTTTCAGTTTCTTTCTTTCTTTTTTTTTTTTTTTTTTCTTTCTTTCTTTCTTTCTTTCTTTCTTTCTTTCGTTTTTTCTTTCCTTCTTTTGTTGATTCATTCCACAGAAATGGTAAGTTATTTTCCGTTTTCTGATTTTTCGAAATTTCCTACATTCATTTTTTATTTTCTCTCCCTCTCTCTTTCTTTCTTTCTTTCTTTCTTTATTTCTTTCTTTCTTTCTTTCTTTTCTTTTCTTTTCTTTCTTTCTTTCTTTCGACGTGTCCTCATTCTACACCAAAATGGGTTTTTCATTGAAAATGAGAAGCAACATGAATGATTACCATTTTACCCACCAAAGATTCTCCAATATTCTTGACTTTTTTCCATCTATTAAACGTTACACTTTATGAAAGTCTACTATTCTATCCTGCACCCCACCACCCTTCCTTTTCCAAATTCTCGATTCTAAGTGCGGTCAGTATGATCCAAGTATGTAATTGCGACTAATTGCTAATTATATCTTACACAGGTGAGTTCCTTTCAAATGAAGGCCGGCCATACTGGTAATTTACAAGACATGGCATTTTAGTAGAATTAGTAGCGACTCTTGTAGATTTTCTTTCGTCTCTTCGAAGACGAGCAAATGTTCAAAGTAATGGTACTTGAAATATGAAAGCCATAAAACTGACTGCTTCTCAAATGCCAGAAGAAAACACATAGAAGTAAGAAAGAATACTGCATAGTCTTTCACTTCGAACTGATTTACTTGGAATATTTTTAATATTATATAACGTCACAAAGTAAATGATCGGGAAGATTTTTTAAAAGAATTCATCTGCATCACACTATCACACTCTCATTATATATATATATATATATATATATATATATATATATATATATATATATATATATATATATATAAGATGGTGAAAGCCAAGACCCACCTTCGTACGCAAATTATTCGTGATCTGTTGCTTACTGGTTATGTCGCTCTTGTTGCTACATCATTTGAGGAGGCCCAACATCTAATAAATCGTTTCTTTACTGGATATAAAACCTTTGGTCTTACACTTAGCATAAAGAAAACTGAAGTAGTGCACCAACCTTGTCCTACTCTGTTCTGGGATACCAATGAAAGTAGAAGACAAAGCCCTGGCCTATGTAAAGTCTTTCACCTATCTTGGTAGCAAAGTCAACTAAAGTGGCACTTTAGATGAGGACAGCATGCATCGGATTGCTAAGGCTACCAATGTTTTCGGCAAACTTCGCCATCGCTTGTGGAATGAGCGGGGTATTTGATTGCATAGAATAATTCGGGTTTACAGAGCTATTGTACTTGCCATCCTTTTGTACGGCTCAGAGTCGTAGACTCCATACAGGTACCATGTACGCCAGCTGGATGTTTTCCATAAAAGCTGTCTGCGTGCAATCTATGGAGTTAACATTCAAGATAGGACATCTAACGTAGACCTGTTTAACAGGTGTAATATTGGAGGAATCGAGACTTTTCTCGTACAGTCTCAGTTACGGTGGACTGGTCATGTCTTGAGAATGTCTGATGACAGGATACCCAAATTCCAGCCAGTTACATCAGGGCTAAACTAATGTAAGACGCCCATGACTAAGATACAAAAACAAACTGAAAAGCATCTTGTCAGCTGTCAATATACCACATAACACCCTTGAACGCTTAGCCTTGGAGCGGGTAGAATGTGGGTCAACGTGTTTTAGTGGATTCAATCTGCTTGTCTGAATCATCTTCAAGAAGCGAGATCAAGATCTAAAAGGTCAGCCAATCTAACAGTGATCTCATCCCACAATCACTTTTCTCCTTTTGACCTCTTTGTAAATTATGCGGGTCTTTTTGTAAATATCGCACAAAATTTCATAACTGAATCAGTTAGCTGGGTCTACGTCGAAACCGAAGTGCCATTATTTTATATATATATATATATATATATAAGATTATTGAAACAAACTGTTGGATTTCATGTTAAATGAATCAGGCCTGATTTATGTTTAGCAGGAAATGTCATCGCCTCTGATTCTTCAATGTTTACTTTTATATCTACAACGCTCCATCTCTGATATTGGAGATCCCGTACCTTAAACTATATTTCTTCATATATATATATATATATATATATATATATATATATTATATATTAACCACCCTTATTACTCTCTGTTAAATACAAAAATATATCAAATTTCATTTTCGTTTCTTTTTTGCAAGTGTTATGGTGTAATGGTTAGCAAGCTTTAAGGTCAGTTACGACTGAAAAAGATCGAGGACAGGTGTCTATACGGCCTTGTGCCACACCTGCCACGCTTAGAAAATAACTATTTGTTGTTGTGTATATTGGGAAAGTTGAATTTCAAAATGTTAAACAATCAAAAGAAAACTTTTAAATCTATCACGCCATGCTTTTGAAGATGGTCATCACATACGTCCATAGCGTAACAACCTAATCACAATCCACACAATATTCATTTAATAAAAGATAAATTATAGAGTATTACTCGCTCAGTTCACCTTTGTTGTTCAAAGGAGAATTGTCTGCTCAATGAAAGGAGAGTTGCAGTCTGAGACAAGAGGTTATGTGAACGCAGAAATTATGACAGATATGATGGATTCTCCTTCTTTTTTGCAGAAGCCAGATATAGGGTCTTCCTGCATCCAACCTCGTTACACAGAACAACACTGTCACCTCAAGGCATTTGATGTAGATCCGTGTTTCATTTTGATCAAAATATCCGGGAGTTTTTACTCATCAGAATGTGAAGCTGGAACAAACATCAGACCTACCCTGTCCTCAGATTTTTTTTGAAATTCTTTTGATTTGCCTCATGGTGAATAGATAGAAGATAGATTAGATAGATAGATAGATAGATAGATAGATTAATGAGCTTGGATTGAGATGAATAGAATAGAATAGACAGATCTGTAAAAGATAGATAGATAGATAGATAGATAGATAGATAGATAGATAATGTCAAAAGAGGAACTGGGAGAGATATATGAATAAAATAGACAAGATAATAGAAATGAGACAATAGATAGATAGATCAATGAGTTGATTGAGATGAATAGAAAGAATAGACAGAGTCTGTAAAATAGATAGATAGAGCAGATAGATAGGATAGATATTCAGAAATATATTGAACGTTATTATTTGCGCGACGCGTTCTGTTCTTTCGTTTTTCATCGAACTAAAGCGATGTTTAACTTCATTCGATTTAATGTGCAATCGAGAGGTATTAAATAAAAAAACTGGCTTTATTTCGTCTTTTTTAAGAAAAACTTAATACAGAATATAATTCAAAATATTACCCCTACCCCAGCAGGAATAACACAGCTTTTGATTGCTGAAATTAGAATTTGAGTGAATTAGGTGACATCATCTGAAAGGGTCAAACGGAAGAGTATGCATCGTGAATAAAAAGGATGTGTCAACATTAAAAGACATGCTTTTTTCATGCACACGCCTGTATACAACTTCCTATGGAGAATGATACATATTCGGTGTTATTTAATAAAACGGGTTTATATACAGGATGCCGCCATTTTATATTGTTAATTTCGCGCATGCGTGTTGTTACCTTTTTTGATTTTGTCGACTGCAGAATACAGTAGGTTTAGTTGGGCAACATCTGTGAGAAAAAAGTTAAGGTTTTAGCTTATTTTCTTGTTTAATATTGAGTAAGTCTTTCATTGCTTTTGATGAGTAGTACCAAGTTTTATGTTGAGTTTAGACAGATTCTTTTTGTTTGTAAATGTGACTGATTTAGTAGGCGGGATGATTTTTTTTATATTTGGGTTTTCGGAAGGGGATGTTTTTTTGTTTCGGAATATTTTATGGGCGGGGTTGTTTTTCCTTACTAGTTTTAAATGTTTTTCAATGTATTTGTCCTCTTTGTGTAAATAATCCGAGGGCTGACCACAGAAAAATGACATTTCAAAGGAGAAAATAATTCACTACTATAAAGCTTGATTGCAACAAAAGAGAATTTCACCATTTGTATCTGTTTGTTTGTTAGAATAGGGATTTAACATCAATAATTATAATATATATATATATAAATATATATATATAATAATTTAACTCTAATATATGAGGATTCTGCAGCTTATTGATTGTTATGAAAGTTTAGGTAATCGTAAGAGGCATTGAAGACCCCTAGTGAAACAAAGGAGTATGGCAAAAATTGAAATGAGATCAAAACCTTTAAAGCATAATCGCTTTTGAAATGATTCAAAGATTGAAAATTTTTGGGTCTTTGAAAACACATTCCATTCAACCAAAAAAACGGTGTTTTTGGTATATTAACTTTTTTGACAAGGCTTTTCAGCTCGTCTTTTTAATATGGGCGTCCTACATTCCTGTATCCCTGATCTAACTGGCTGTACATTAGAAATCTTTGTGTATCCTGTCATCAGACATTCTCAAGACATGACCAGTCCCGTAACTTTATGAGAAAAGTTTCGATTCCTCCAATATTACCTGTTAAACATATAGATGTCCTATCTTATAATATATATATATATATATATATATATATATATATATATATATATATATATTCTGAAACTATATATATATATATATATATTTCATTTTTATCAAAAGGGTTACCCAGGTGAAGGGAACAAACCTCCTACTGATTTTTTTTTCCTTTTGATTTAAATTAAATTTAAATATCCCCAGATGGAGGTTACATCGGCAAGATCAAAATGAGACAATATAGACGTCAAGTTGTACAAGAAATCACCAATTGAGCAGCGCCTATCAATTCAATGTCAATTCAACTTTTCAAATCTGCTCATCAAAAATCAGGTATTACATAAAATTTTTTTTTTTTTTAAGACGTATCATTCGGAAGCCACTTGCACGCAGGGGGGTTTTTAGAGTGGTCTGATACGTTTTTGGTTGTAATGTGGCATAAATGAAATCCGCGGCCTTCATCAGGTAAATGTTTTTGTTATTAAAAATAATTAATTTTTTTCCTTATGTTTTTCTTTCACTGCCGGTTCAAGAAAAAAACTAACGCACACAAAAAGAATGTCTTTTCGAGAATATTTAACATCGAAAATCATAAGAAAAAAAAAATTAATTGATTTTTTTAATATGTAATCTGCCTGATGAAGGTCACGAGACCGGAAACAAGTGTAGCAAAATTAAAAAAAAATAAAGCATAATATTTTTTTTAAAACAAAAGAATTTCATTTTCTTCTTTTTTAATATATCCACTTCCCTCTCGGAAATATATAAACTCTTTCCCTTTAATATATATATATATATATATATATATATATATATATATATATATATATATATATATATATATATATATATATATATATATATATATATATATATATATATATATATATATATATATATTATATATATATATATATTAAATTCTAGTGAACACAAGAAGATTGGTATCAAATGACAATTGAATTAAATGAAACGAAATGTTTTTGTTGTTATAGTTACAATTTTTTCTTTTCAATTTGGATTTTTTTAATGTAACTATAACAACAAAAACATTTCGATTTCATTTTTGCCTTTCGGAATATGCATTTTAAAAATGATATATATATATATATATATATATATATATATATATATATATATATATATATATGAATAAATGCTTGAGTAAAGTTTTGAATTATTCCTCTGTACTACCACACGCCGTCACGTAACCGATGAATAAATATTCCTTTGAATGTCCGACACACACCATTACCCGAAAATATCTACTACTGTCTTATTCTCTTCTCTCTCCACCCGTATGCCTATGACATCAAATGCAACCAGCTTAAGGCGGGTTACAGTTAGTCAGTGATCTGTTCAAGGTTTCATCTTATCGCAAAAACATTCAGAAAAAAAAAAGAATATAAATTGTAAAGATGAGCAAGATAAAAAAAATTTAGACAGGAAAAATTTCTGGACAAATATTTGAGGCCTGCGTAAATCAAAGTAAAGGAAGGGACGACAGAGCAACAAGAGAAAAAAAAAGTGTAAATGACACTAAGGACGGGTGAAAAATAAAGACCAGAAAGAAACATGAAAAGCCGTTATAATAATCGTGTTTGTAAGGACATTTAGAACGAGAAATAAGTGTCAGAGAGTGTGTAATAAGTTTAAGATTAAAATTGGAAATAACATGAAAACAATGATAGTAATCTTGTTTGTAAAGAGAGAGAAGAACATAAAAAGCAATTATAATAATCTTGTTTGTAAAGAATGGAAATAAGATGAAACAATTATAATTATCGTATTTGTAAAAGAGGAGAAATAACACGAAAATTAATTGTAATAATTTTGTTTGTAAAGAGAGGAAATAACATGAACAGCAATTATAATAATTTTGTTTGTAAAAAGAGGAAAGAACATGAAAATTAATTATAATAGTTTTGTTTTTAAAAGAGGAAATAACATGAAAATTAATTATAATAATCTTGTTTGTAAAGAGAGGAATAAACATAAAAAGCAATTATAATAATCTTGTTTGTAAAGAATGGAAATAAGATGAAACAATTATAATTATTATTTGTAAAAGAAGAAATGAAAATTAAGTAATAATTTTGTTTTAAAGAGAGGAAATAATGAACATCATAATTATTTTGTTTGTAAAAGAGGAAAGAACATGAAAATTAATTATAATAATTTTGTTTGTAAAAAGAGGAAAAATGAAAATTAATTATAATAATAAAGAGAGAAATGAATTAAAAAAGCAATTATTTTGTTTGTAAAGAATGGAAATAAGAGAAACAAATAATTATCGTATGAAAAGAAATAACATGAAAATTAATTATAATAATTTTGTTTTGTAAAGAGAAAAGCAATTATAATAATTTTGTTTGTAAAGAGGAGAAAAACAATTGTAATAATCTTGTTTTTAGAGAAAAGAACACGACAATTAATCTTGAGAAGGACATTTAAGTGGCACAGGGTGAATAATAAATTCCAAATAAATAAACGACTAATTCTGTCCGTCCTTCCGCGTGTTTGTAAAACCTCTCTAACTTGAGCTCCACTTTCTCTACATGGACATTCTATACCTTTTTGTAGTCAGGATTATCCTGGGATTGAAAATCTGCTTATCATCTGGTGCTTAGACTTCCTGTGTTGGGATTAGTCTCCAGACGAGTAGGTAACATTTAAAAATTCAAATTTTAAAATAACTGGAAAAAATGATTGATTTTAAAAGTTTTTAATTCATATTGCGTTTAAAGTAACACAAAATCTTTGCGAATTTATTTTTTTTTGTTATAAATTCAGTTGAAAATATCTGCAAAGCTTTGTGAATTGAAGAAATCAATTTTATTTCTTCAAATTGCCAAGAAATCAGAGTCAAAATGAAAGGTTTCGTGACGTGACGATTTGAAGTTCCGTAGATTTTGTTATTTAAAGAACTCAACTCAATTGAAGTTCGACTGAGTTTGTGATTTAAAGAACTCAATTTTCGGCCTGAATTGGACTCATAGCCCGAATCAGAGTTAAAGTAAGGTTTTGAACTTTCATGGAATGAATCGAAGAATTTAAAGTAATTTCTTCAAAATTATTATTGCTGGACGAAACTGGACCAGAGGCACCTTCAGTTTTGGTCCAGACATGCGGTTTTTAACCTAGTCAAGGACAACGGGAAAAAATTAAATCATAACAATCGTGTTTGTAAGTACTCCTAATGGAAATGAAGTTGCGCCGAGTGAACAATGAAAGAAAGATTTCTTGTATTTGTATTGCAACTGAATAGAATACAAGGCGCAAGAGTAACTCAAGTTAGAGGATTATAGTTTCCTGTTGTATGAGCTTAAGAAAAGGCTATAAGTGCTGTTCATGAGGTTATGTAGGAATGAAGACTGTTATATATATATATATATATATATATATATATATATATATATATATATATATATATATATATATATATATAGTTAAACCTAGAGAGCCAGACAAACTTACCAAGGTTTCACCAAAGCGACTCCCTTGGGTGAAACCTTGGTAGGTTTGACTGGCTCTCTATGTTTAACTGGGTCTGCTCTACTCTTTGTATTGAGCATTTTATTTAGTTGTTTTGGGTACTCGGATCGATGTTTTTTCTTTGGGCCTTGAAATCGTATGCTGGACGATTATTTTCGGCTAACGTACATGTTCTTGGTTCTTTCTTTTTTATATACCTTTTTTATTCCTTTGGTATTAGCTTGTTTATTTGCAAATCAATACAACGAAGGTTTTCTGAGGGAGTATAATTTCTTATATATATATTATATATATTTATATATATATATATATATATATATATATATAGATAGATAGATAGTTTTTTTAAGCATTACGCCCTGAGCAAGGCGTGAAGCCACTAGGATGCAGGGGTTGCAGAAGATTTGGTGCGAGAGCAGATAGGAGTGATAGAAGAAAGGATGAGGAGAAGGATAGTGGGTAGATCAAGGTAACTTGAGATGTCGATTGACATTACATTTGCATAGTTGGAGATTATAGCTCTCAGGGAAACAGTAATAGGGACGGGTGTTCCACAGGCGAGAGGTGCGAGGTATGAAGCTATTGGAGTAGAAGAGACGGCCACATTTAAAAATTTCTACAGTGTAAGGGTGGGAGCGGGATGCCAGCCTCGTGAGGCGCTTGAATTCATGGAGTCTGGGAACCAGTGAAAGCAGCTCATCGGAGCAATTAATATGAAAGTATTTGTAGAAAAGACAGAGAGAGGCGACGACGCGTCTATGAGAGAGTGACTGTAGACGAGACGCCAGATATCACACATTGTGTGGTGGTGTTAATAAAATAGTGCTCTGTATAATATAACAGAGCTATTAAGTATATGTTATTAATTTTTTTTTTTTCCTCACCAGTAGCACTGCTCGGAGTTTCATGCACAACGCAGTCTCCAGATGCTGGAAAGAGACTAACCGTTACATCTGTTACAGTTGAATAAAAATGTTTGATTAACGCAATGCTGACACACTCCATATATTATACGTGAATTACTGGCTTAAAAAAGAGAATTGTATTTAAAAAAGACAGAAAGCAGCTAAAATGATACTGAATTGACATGGTAACAACAAAGAAACCTGTTCAAAACCAACGAAAACTGTTTAGATTTTCGGATACTGAGTGAATGAAGATGATTTCCTCAACATTTGGATTTAATCAAAGCATCAGACTTATTCCATAAATTCAGTTCTTAGTTTTTCAATAGCATATATAATATTAAACTCTTTATTTTATTTTATTTTATTTTTATTTTATTTTATTTATTTTTTATTTATTTGAAAGTCTTTTTATTTATTTATTTATTTTTTTTACTTATTCCGTTTTAACTTGCCTTTCTGAAAATTTTCTTTCTTTTCTTTTTCTTTTTCTTTTTTTTTTTTTATTTCTTTTTCACTTATTCCGTTTTACCTTCCTTTTCAAACAAGAATTTTTTTTCTTTTCTTTCTTTCTTTCTTTTTTGGTCTTTTTTTCTTTCACTTATTCCGTCTTGACTTCCTCTTCGCAAACCAGAATTTTCTTTTTTCTTTTTTTCTTTTTTTTTTCTTTTTTTCTCTTTCTTTTTCTTCTTTTTTGCATTTTTTTCTTTTTTTCTTTTCTTTTCTTTGTTTTTGTCTTTTGTTTCCTTATTCCTTCACCTTCCTCTTCGCAGCACCATTTTTCATTTTCTTTTTTTTTTTTTTTTTTATTTTATTTTCTTTTTTCTTTTTTTTGTCTTTCTTTCTTTCAATTATTCCGTCTCACCTTCCTCTTCCACCAGCATTTTTTTTTTTTTTTTTTTCTTTTTCGTTTTTCTTTTTTCTTTCTTTTCTTTTCCTCTTTTTTTTATCATCTTTTTCTTTTCTTTTCTTTATTTTTTCTTTTTCTTTCACTTATTCCGTCTTACCTTCCTCTTCACACCAGCTTTTTTTTCTTTTTCTTTTTCATTCTTCGTTTTGTCTTTGTTACTTTCACTTATTCTGTCTTACCTTCCTCTTCACACCAGCATTTTTTCTTTTTCTTTTTCTTTTTCTTTTTTCGTTTTGTCTTTGTTTCTTTCACTTATTCCGTCTTAACTTCCTCTTCGCACCACCATTTTCTTTCTTTTTTCTTTCTTTTTTCTTTCTTTTTTCTTTCTTTTCTCTTTCTTTTTTCATCTTTTTTGTCTTTTTTTTTCCCTTATTCCGTCTTACCTTCCTCTTCACAACAGCATTTTTTTTCTTTTTCTTTTTCATTCTTCGTTTTGTCTTTGTTTCTTTCACTTATTCCGTCTCACCTTCCTCTTCGCACCACCATTTTCTTTCTTTTTTCTTTCTTTTCTCTTTCTTCTTTTATTCTTTCTTTGGTAAATCTTTCTTTCACTAATTCCGTCTTCCTCGGCACACCAGCATTGTCTTTCTTTTTCTTTCTTTCTTTCACTTATTCCGTCTTAACTTCCTCTTCATATAAGCATTTTCATTCTTTCCTCTTTTTTCTTTTTTTTTTCTTTTTTTTTTGCTTATTCCGTCTTAACTTCCTCTTTACGACAACATTTTCTTTCTTTTTCTTCTTTTTATCATTCCTTCTTTTCTTTCACTCAATCGATCTTATCTTCCTCTTCACAACAACGTTTTCTTCCTTTTTTCTTTCTTTTATCTTTCTTTCTTTTTCTTTCTGTCTTTTTTTTCACTCAATCGATCTTATCTTCCTCTTCACGACAGCATTTTCGTCTTTTTTGCTTTCTTTTTTCATTCTTTCTTTCATTTATTTCGTTTTAACTTCCTCTTCACACCAGAATTTTCTTCCTTTTTTTCTTTCTCTTCTTTCTTTTCGCACAAAATTTTCTTTTAGTAATTATTATGATTTTCATTAATTTTACCACAAGGAAGGCAATAAACTCACTAAGACGCAAGCGATTACCGAGTGTGAAAGAATCAGAGAAAAAAAAAAATTATTTAGGAGAGAGAACAATAAAAGAACCGGGAATTAAGGAGACAGAAGATAGCGATTGACAGTCTATCTTTGAAGATCAAAGTGGAATGGAAACCTGAATCGGAAGAGTTTAAAATATTTACATTTCTCTTTCTTTCTTCTTTCTTTTCTTTCTTTCTTTTTTCTTTCTTTCTTTTTTCCTTTCATTTTTTTTTCTTTATTTCTTTTTATTATAATTTTCTTCGGACAAATGTTTTTTTTTTTTACTTCGCTTTAATCGATCTTGTCATTCTCTACATTTCTAATGTATTCCGTTTTTGAAGATAATAACACTTAACGTAAAAATTCTGTTCTTTGATTTTCTACACCTTCAACCGAAATATGTTTCTTTTTTATTTTATTTCTTTACTCCAAATATTGCTTTCTTTCTTTCCATTTCTTCACTGCAAATATTTCCTTCATTCTTTCTTTCTATATCTTCATTCCAAATATTTCTTTTTCTCTTTCATTCCATTTCTTCACTCAAAATATTTTCTTCATTCTTTCATTCTACTTTTTTAACTCCAAATATTTCTTTCTATTTCTTGACTCCAAATATTTCTTTCTCCTTTCGATTTCCACAAAGGAAATATTCTATTCTTTCATTCTCTTTCTTCACACCAAATGCTTCTTTCTTTCATTCTATTTCTTCACTCGCAATATTCCTTTCTTTCTTTCTTTCTTTCTTTCTTATAAATATTCCTTTCTTTCTTTCAATTTCTTCTCTCCAATTATTTTTTTCTTTCTATCTCTTAACTCGAAATGTTTTTCTATCTTTATTTGTTTCGTTCTAACTCTTTGTTCCAAATTATTCTTTCTTTTTCTTTTTTTTTCGCTGTTTGTTTGTTTCTTTCTTCATTGCAACTTTTTCTTCACTCCAAATCTTTCCTTCTTTTTCTGTATTTTTCTTACATTTTTTCTTTTTTCTATCTTACTATCTATTCTTTCTTTATTCCAAGTCTTTCTTTATTCTACTACTTCTTCATCCAAAATCTTTCTTTCATTTTTCTTTTTCCTTTCTTTCTTTCATTTTTTCTTTCTTTCTTTCTTTCTTTCTTTCTTTCTTTGTTCTTCATTACAACTCTTTTTTTAATCAAACTATTTCTTTCTTTCTTTCTTTCTTTCTTCATTTCAACTCGTCCTTGCTATTTTCTGTCTTTCTTTCTTTCTTTCTTTCTTTCTTTCTTCATTTCAACTCGTCCTTGCTATTTTCTGTCTTTCTTTCTTTCTTTCTTTCTTTCCAACTCTTTCTTCATTCCATCTCTTTCTTTCTGTTTTCTTTCATTCTTTTTTCATTCTAACAATTTTTCATTCGAACTCATTCTTTCTTATTCTTTGTATCTTTCTTTCCTTCTTCATTCCAATTCTTTCTTCAATCTAACTTTTTATTTTTCTTTCTTTCATTTTTTCTATATTACTTTATTCCGTTTATTTCTCTTTTCTTTCTCCTTAATTATTCCACTATTTCTTTCTTTTACTGTCTTTCTTTCATACTTTCTTTCTTTCTTTCACCATTTCATTCATTCTTCATTCCAAGCCTATCCCAATTTCAAATCGTTCTTTCTTTCTTTCATTCTTTCTTTCTTTCTTCATTCATTTCAACACTGTCTTCGTTCCAAATCTTTTTCTTTCTTTCTTTCTTTCTTTCTTTCTTTCTTTCTTTCTTTCTTTCTTTCTTTCTTTCTTTCTCCATCCCAATTCTTTCTCCATTGCAACTCATTCTTTCTTTTTTCTTTTTTCATTCATTCATTCATTCATTCTTTAATTCATTCATTCATTCTTTTTTTCTTCATTTCAACTATTTCTTCATTCCAACTCTTCCTTTTTTTTCTTTTTCGTTCTTCGTTTATTCCAACTATTTTTTCTTTCTTTTTTTTTTTTCTTTAACGTTTTTTCATTTCAAGTTTTTGTTTCCTTTTCGTTTTTCTCTTTCAATTTTCTTTATTTTTTTCATTTTCTTTTTTTCTTTTCTTTCGTTCTTTTCGATCTTTTCTTTGTTTTTATTTCTTCATTTATTTATTCCTTCATTCCAACTTTCTTCATCTAACTCTTTCTTTTTTCTGTCTATATCTTTCTTTCTTCATTCTAAATCTTTCTTTTTCTTTCTTTTCTTTCTTTTCTTTTCTTTCTTTCTTTCTTTCTTTCCATTCACTTCTTTCTTTCATCAATTTTATCCCCTCACTCTTCTATATTTATTTCTATTTCTTTCTCTCTTGTGTCTCTCGCCTCCTCCGAATAATTCAACCTCCTCCAACCCCCACCATCACCAGCCTCACCCTTCTTCCCACCCACATTTCTCTTCTAACTTCTGACCTCCGGAACGACCTCCAGGAAAAGGTCAATCTGCCAAATGCCCTGCCGCATTCCGCTAGAACATTGAGGGTCGCTTACGATGCAGAAAAAAGTGGTTTTAACGCACCATTTTAAGTAAACGCAACTTGACATGATTCCCGCCGAGAATTGCGTGGCAATCTCAGCAATGGAATTCGCCTTCTGGAAAGAAAGAATGACGCGAGGAGGAACAAGAAGAAGCCTTTCATCTTTATTAGGTGTTATTGCCAGCCATTTGTCGGTTAGGTCACATTGTTCTGCCGTCTGGACGATCATGTAGACACTGGTATCATTCCGGTTATGGCGACAAAAATGACCGTTTCCTTTGTCCTTCGATCCGACGGGCTGTCCATCTCATCGACTCTTCGACCTGCTAGGTATGGAGGCATTGTCTGTCTCATCTAGCGTGCGGAGGTTTTCTCTATCTAAATCTTTTCGAATCTCTGTCCACATATTCTCACATTCTGCTAGGATCAACTTCGCCATATTTGTGACTATCGATCCGAAAACTAACCACTCTATCTATCTATCTATCTATCTATCTATCTATATATATATATATATATATATATATATATATATATATATATATTGCATGAATCATTCATACAAAAAAACAGATTAGTGAAGTTATAATGATATAAAGAATACATCTTCGCAAACAAATTTATTAAAATTACATTAACCCACGGACCTCTATATGAATGTTGTAATCCCTGTTTTTAATAAATTCAACTTGTATAAGGTCTTTTTTTGCAAGTACTTTCATCTGTTCATACAGACACCATCAGACATGGAAATTGATTTGTTTTTTTTTTTTACATTCAGGTAATAACGGGAGACGAAAGATTAGATGTGAATCGAAATATGTTTTTTAGAAATGTGTTATTGTTAACTGTAAGAAATTCTGGAGCGTACGGTCGCAACGCTAAGGTTGAATTTTTTAAAATTTAAAAGAGAGTGCGTTTTTTTACTAATATGGTAATTAGAGAATTCTATTGTTGTATTAGTTTTTTTTTTCCAGTCGATGTGGCATGAACTAAATTGTTCAATAAATAGAGCAATGTCGCAGTTATTATCTCAGATATATATATATATATATATATATATATATATATGTGTGTGTGTGTGTGTGTGTGTGTGTGTGTGTGTGTTTACACTGCTCTATATATCTGTATCTATCAATCTGTTCACATTGATCTATTTATCTCTGCATATATATATATATATATATATATATATATATATATATATATATTCAAATTTATCAATATAGCTATGCATTTCAATCTGTATTAATCAACCAGTAAATTAGAATTAAAATAATGAGAAAAAAACAGTAAGATTTATAATTCGCTGTCCTTATTAATTATTTAAAAAAAAAAACTGCTCAATACAATTTAGTAAAGCTTAAATAGTATAAATTTACTAATTTAAAAATATGGCTCCATCGTTACGCAGGAATTACCATGCTTCAAAAACAGTAACTAAGCCTTAAATTTAATTTATAGAATTAAATTAAAAACCTTTATCTTTGATCATTTTCAAGAGATAACTGGAAATCGCTTGAAAATGATTCAAATTTTAAATTTAATTCTATAAATTAAATGTAAGGTTTAGCTTCTGCCTTTGAAACATGGTAATCCCTGCGTAGCGATAGAGCTATATTTTAAAATTAGTAAAGTATAGTACTTACATATTAATCTGTTTCCATCTATCTATCTATCTATCTATCTATCTATCGATCAATCAATCATTCGATCGATCGATCTATTCTATCATTTAATTGTTAATTTGACATTTTCCTCGCCAGCTGTCTGCATCATGAAATTGATTTCATATCAAATGTTGTAGATTTGGTAAAGGCAAAAAAAAAAAAGCTGTAAAAGAAATCGTTAATGGCATCATGTCAGAAAGTTAAAAATTAACTCCAAATGCTGTTTTTCTCTATGGAATTCCAAGCATTCGTTGTGTTCGGCCAATTTGGGCTCATGACTGTATTTCCCGAACACTTAGCCAAGATCAAGCTCATATTAAGTGGCTTGTTTCAACAGAACGCCATCCACTTTGCCGCTACAACTGCCTTAAATGGAATTGTCACGACGATAGATAACATTGTCGAATCAAACCCTGAGTAGAAAAAGTCAAAGTCCGATGGAACACGAGGAACATTATTCCGATCGATAGCATGAGACGGAATGTCTCTGGTATATTCCGAAAATCCTAACGATAACAATTATCAAACACATTTCCTGGTAGGGGAAAATATTTCGTTTTTTTTTCTTTCTTTCTTTTAAAAAATCAACACTTCTATTTCAGATTAAGTTACTGTTAGTATTTGAATGCACAAAACATTTTAAAAGGCCTCCAGAAAACCTTATATAATCCATTGAATAAAGATTTTTAGACAATGAAATATTGGATTCTTAATGGATAGGATAGTGTATTATTTTATATTAACATTATCAAGACTGAGAAGGGACAACTCAACACCGCCGACTCAGAACCCAGACAACTCAGCACGAGAAAAACGTTTGTTATTTTTGTTTTTTTTATAACCGAATAAACGTAAATAATTAAGGTTTAAAACCATAATTTGTGAAAATCTCCTGAGCCGACCAAGCATAGAAATGAATACAATATGGGAACCAGTCATAAGGAGTGCCAGAGAAAAGCGATAATAACAAAAATTGCAATATGAGCTCTGATAAAAACATAGTATGATAACAGCAAAAAATTCAATATGAGCACTGGTAAAAAATGATTGCTGAACACATTAGGTTTATAATACCCAGAAATTCATACACAGGTGTCCTCAAGGAGACGTGACACAGTGGATAAAGGCGTTAGTTAGATCCAGTGACCTACAGATTGTGACTAGAACAGTCTAAAGAGTTCAGTTCGACATTCCAATCACCTGAAGAAGGCCGGAGAAAAACAACGGCCTAAACGTTTTAATAAATATGGCGAGAATCCGAAGAATGCCAATAATGTACATAATACCTCATCTCAGAAATATAGACAGGTACTTTTAATCATATAAATATTAGTGAGGCGCAAGCAATTTTTCATTCCGAAAATAAGGCCCAGGTAAGAAATGTTTTCGAACCATTGGTAGAGGTGATGGACTGTCATAGTTTCTATCCCGGAAAGGATTATCTTGAGTCCTGTTTCTTGGTAAACATGATAGAAGATTAACGGGGCGAAATATCATTTTCCCGTTGTTCGAAAGGGCGTTATTTATGATAGTGAAGCGTGGGGTGATGAAAATATTAAATGTTCCCAGAAAGGTGGGGGTCAGGTTTCCGCCGAGCATAGTAGGAAGGCAGTAAGTTAAAGAATTTAGAGAGAGTTTTTGAAAAAAAAAACGTCTCAGAAGGAAATGCAATTTTAACGTGACAGCAGTCGAATCTGTTTAGAGGAGAGACTTTACTTTAGTAAATCGAAGTTGACTGCGAAATCCTCTACTGACTTATAAATTTGTTTGTCAAATTATATTAATTTAGTCCCTTCACCAATACCAGCTATCCACACATCTATCTATCTATCTATCTATCTATCTATCTATCTATCTATCTAAACACACACACACATAGATATATCTAATTCTGTTCATATCTATCTCTCTATCGTTAAATAAATATATATTTCATCCTTTTCATATGGATCTATCTATCTACACACACATAGATATACCACATTCTGATCATATCTATCTCTATATTGTTAAATATATATATGTATCATCCTTTTAATATGTATCTATGTATATCTATCTCTACACACACACGCGTAGATATATCTCATTCTGTTCATATCTATCTCTCTATCGTTATATATATATATATATATATATATATATATATATATATATATATCATCCTTTTCATATCTATCTGTCTATCTATGTTTATATATATATATATATAGATTTCCATCTGTGTGTTCATGTTTTGTTTATATTTATCTATTCGAATCTGTTCATATTCATGTCTCTATTTCTCTCTCTCCCTCTCTTCATCTATCTATCTATCTATCTATCTATATCTATCTATCTATCTAAATATATATATATATATATATATATATATATATATATATATATATATATATATATATACACCCAATTCTGGAAAATCCTTGTTGAAAAACACAACTACACTTAAACATGAAAACAATAAAGAAAAACTAAAAATTCTTGATGCTATATACATAAAACAGTTGAAACCTAACCTGAACTATCTGTGATGTCATGGGCTGCGGTGCGATTTTCGCTTCTCGCGTCTCGTATGCACGAATTTTTCATTGCTTGGAAATCTTCCATGTAAAAAAAAAAAAACAACAAAAAAAAAAAAGACTATCATTGTTGCTATGCCGTGTATTATTTAATTTATGCTAATGTAATTGTCAAATTTGATGATGGGTTATGTAGGCCGAAAGCTTAGTTAGGATTAAGAAAAATGTATCAATATGGTGATTTTCTTTCGTCTTTCAATGATAATGTTATTAAGCTTATCAGATGATATGAAAGGAATTTGCTTAAAATTAATAGACAAACTTGTCTATATTATTTAATGAAACTTATATATATATATATATATATATATATATATATATATATATATATATATAATCTGTCATAGTCTGTTTCTATTGCATATTTTGTCCATATCTACCTCAGTCTGTTAATGTTCAGATTCAGCGTCAAAAAATGGCTCAGAAACATGTGCCCATTGCCCAGCAACATGTGGGTCGAAAAAATGTCGACCGGTGTAATCTGTATCTCTATCATCTATCTATCTATCTATCTATCTAATAACATCTGTCATTCTCTACATATATCTTTTTTGAAGCCACTTAATTTTCAATAACAAAACAATTTGGCTTTTGCAAAATAAAAAGATATTGAGAAATATTGTCGTCATCATCCCTAGGGCCTTCTGCAATGTTATCTCTTTGCAAAGATCAGATTAAAAATAAAAAAATTGCTGCCATATCTGGAGAGGAGTTGCCCAATCATCAGTTTCCAACCTCCAAAAATTTAAAAACGTTTACCTGATCTTGTGGGTGATGTTATTTTCCGCCCCACAACCCAAGTTTCACAGACGAAACGTCAATAACCCTTGCTACCTTATCTCTATTTCCCTGGCAGATATTCAGCAAAAGCTGTATTCCTTAGTTCTACCTTCACATCCTGGATTCGCCATGTCACTTAACCAGGGTCAATTCACCCTCAGTCCCTTCGTATTTCACTGGTAAAGAATAAGTTCCATCAGATAGCTTCTTCCCTGAAAGTTTTACGTTGTGAATAGCCATCCGCGATTTTTCTTCTTTGAACATTAAGACCTTAATATCATTCGTTGCCGAGTAGTAGAGAAATTTTTACGTGTTCATGCTATAATGTTGGCTGGAAATAAATGAAATGAGACTGGTGTAGTCGATTACCGCAAAGGTTTTGTTTTACATCAAAGATCAAGACCGTACACGCAAGACGCTAGTGGTCCGGTGGCAAGGCTAGCGGTTTTCTGGTGGCACGCCATAGGCGGGTCAATGGTGGGCCACTAGCGTTCCACAAGTGGTAACATTGCCGCGACGAACACGACAGCGGACCACCAGCGGTAAACGCTAGTAGGATGCCAGAGTGGTGGCTTGCGTCTAAGGGAAGATGTACTCTAAGATGCAATGATTCAAAAACAAAAAGAACATATATAAAAATGAAGAGATTGAATCATCGTGATCTCAGATCGAGGATGTAAAAAAATAATCTACCAAAATTTTCTAAAAAAAGCCCAAAAAAGGATTAAAAAATAATTTCATTTAATTGTAAATAAATACTGAAAATTTCATTAAAATACGATAATTATTTGATTTTTTTGAAAGATTTTTTGCAATGTGATTTTAACGCCCGAAAATTCTCCGTGCTATTCTTTGTCCTACACGCAAAAAACAGGATTTTAAGCGAAATTTAGAACAAGATATAGAAAGGATTTAAAAATAATCAAAGAGATAATTTGATCTTTCCTCTTAATAATAACGTAAACATTTTAGGATCAACTTAGTTTCTATCAAGTTTCGAGAGTTTTTCCATTATGGTATACTCTTTTGTAGCGATTTTTTGGAGGTACGTACATAAAAATGAATGAAAAAAAAAATGGCCTTATAATTGCAATCGTTTGTTGGGGCTGCTTGGTCTACAGACCACAATTCCGGTCGTTGCAACTTCTACCTTTCTGCTAGTGTCTGTCGTTGGAGACGCTTTCTCAGAAGCATTCCCTTGCGTCCGGTAAAGACACTAAACCCTCAAACACCACTGTTAATATGCTTATTTTATTTCACATTTTTCTTCTAATCAGTCTGCATATTCCATATTGCTTTCAACAGTATACTATAAAAGAAAAAAATTTGGCCATGTAAAATATTCTGCTAAGTGCAGATTAACAAAATTATAGAAGTGATTTGCAGACATGGTAACCTGATGCCTTGCTTTCTGCCGAAAGAACACAATGCCTCGATGCCGGCAAACTTTGCAAACGGTGCCAGTGTTTGTTTTCTGAAGAAAGGGTAAAGGAGTGGAGCTGGGTGCTTGGTTTCTCGTCAAACGCCAATTTTACGTTCACTTGAATTCCCGGTGCCTTGAAATGGTTCGGGTTTAGGGTAAGAATCGATAAAATCAACTTTACGAAGAACAGACGCACGGTACCTGACAGTATTATGGATGTTGTTAAAAAAAAGAGCAGATAAATAGATAGATAGATAGATAGATAGAATAGATAGATAGATAGATAGATAGATAGATAGAGAGATTTATGTAGACTGAGATAGATAGATAGATAGATAGATGATAGAGATTTGTTTAGATCCGAGATAGATTTGATAGACTTAGATAGATAGATAGATAGATAGATAGATAGATAGATAGATAGATTTGTTTAGTGTGATAGATGAGATAGATAGATAGATAGATAGAGAGATAGATAGACTGATGATAGATAGATAGATAGATAGATAGATTGTTTAGTCAGAGATAGATTTGTATAGACTGTGAGATAGATAGATAGATAGATAGATAGATAGATAGATTTGATGATAGATAGATAGATAGATAGATAGATGATTTATTTGTTTAGTCAGAGATAGATTTGTATAGAGTGATAGAGATAGATTAGATGTATAGACTGTAGATAGATAGAGATAGATAGATAGATAGATAGATTTGTTTAGTCAGAGATAGATTTGTATAGACTGTGATAGATAGATAGATAGATAGATAGATTTGTTTAGTCAGAGATAGATTTGTATAGACTGTGATAGATAGATAGATAGATAGATAGATAGATAGATAGATAGATTTGTTTAGTCAGAGATAGATTTGTATAGACTGTGATAGATAGATAGATAGATAGATAGATAGATAGATAGATTTGTTTAGTCAGAGATAGATTTGTATAGACTGTGATAGATAGATAGATAGATAGATAGATAGATAGATAGATAGATAGATAGATAGATAGATTTGTTTAGTCCGAGATAGATTTGTATAGACTGTGATAGATAGATAGATAGATAGATAGATAGATATTTGATTTGTAGATGTGATAGATGATAGAGATAGATTTGTTTAGTCAGAGATAGATTTGTATAGATAGATAGATTAGATAGATAGATAGATAGATAGATAGATAGATTTGTTTATAGTATAGACTGTGATAGATAGATAGATAGATAGATAGATAGATAGATAGATAGATAGATTTGTTTAGTCAGAGATAGAGATAGATTTGTAGATAGACTGATAGATAGATAGATAGATAGATAGATAGATAGATAGATAGATAGATAGATAGATAGATAGATTTGTTTAGTCAGAGATAGATTTGTATAGACTGTGATGATAGATAGATAGATAGATAGATAGATAGATAGATAGATAGATTTGTTTAGTCAGAGATAGATTTAGATAGATAGATAGATAGATATAGACTGATAGATAGATCGAGATAGATAGATAGATAGATAGATAGATAGATAGATAGATAGATAGATTTGTTTAGTCCGAGATAGATTTGTATAGACTGATGATAGATAGATAGAGATAGATAGATAGATAGATTAGATCCGAGATAGATTTGTGATAGATAGATAGATAGAGATAGATAGATAGATGATTATAGATAGATTTGTATAGATTGATAGATAGATAGATAGATAGATTGTATAGATAGATAGATAGATAGATATCCGAGATAGATTTGATTTAGTAGATAGATAGATTTGTATAGAGATAGATAGATAGATAGATAGATAGATAGATAGATAGATTTGTTTAGTCCGAGATAGATTTGTATAGATAGATGATAGATAGATAGATAGATAGATAGATAGATAGATAGATAGATAGATAGATAGATTTGTTTAGTCCGAGATAGATTTGTATAGACTGTGATAGATAGATAGATAGATAGATAGATAGATAGATTTGTTTAGTCCGAGATAGATTTGTATAGACTGTGATAGATAGATAGATAGATAGATAGATAGATTTGTTTAGTCAGAGATAGATGTGATAGATAGATGATAGATAGATAGATAGATAGATAGATAGATTTGTTTAGTCCGAGATAGATTTGTATAGACTGTGATAGATAGATAGATAGATAGATAGATAGATAGATAGATAGATAGATTTGTTTAGTCCGAGATAGATTTGATAGATAGATAGATGATAGATAGATAGATAGATAGATAGATAGATAGATAGATAGAGATAGATAGATAGAGATAGATAGATAGATAGAGATAGATTTGTTTTAGTTTGTTTAGTAGATAGATAGAGATAGATTTCCGAGATAGATTTGTTTAGTGATAGATAGATAGATAGATAGATAGATAGATAGATAGATTTGATAGATATTTGATAGATAGATAGATAGATAGATAGATAGATGAGATAGATAGACATAGACAGATAGATAGATAGATAGATAGATAGATGAACAAATTAGTCCTGAGATAGATGGATAGATAGATAGATAGATAGATAGATAGATAGATAGATAGATGTTTAGTATAGACTGTGATAGATAGATAGACAGACAGATTTGTTAGTCAGAGATAGATTTGTATAGATAGATAGATAGATGAATAGATAGAAGATTACTGTGATAGATAGATAGATAGATAGATAGATAGATAGATAGATTTAGATAGATAGATTTGTATAGACTAGATAGATAGATATGATAGATAGATAGATAGATAGATAGATTTAGATAGATAGATTTTGATAGATAGATAGATAGATAGATAGATAGATAAAGAGATATTTGTATAGACTGTGATAGATAGATAGATAGATAGATAGAGATAGATAGATAGATATTTGTTTAGTCAGAGATAGATAGATAGACTGTGATAGATAGATAGAGATAGATTAGATGATAGATAGATAGATTTGTTTAGTAGAGAAGATTTTATAGACTGTGATAGATAGATAGATATATAGATTTGTTTATATAGATATAGATAGATAGATAGATAGATAGATAGATAATAGATAGATTGATAGATAGATAGATTTGTTTAGTCCGAGATAGATTTGTATAGACTGTGATAGATAGATAGATAGATAGATAGATAGATAGATAGATAGATAGATAGATAGATGGAGATAGATAGATGGATAGACATTTTTATAGATCCGAGATAGATTTGTTTAGTATAGACTGATAGATAGATAGATAGATAGATAGATAGATAGATTTGTTTTCAGAATAGACAAATAGATTTGTATAGACTGAGATAGATAGATAGATAGATAGATAGATAGATAGATTTGTTTAGTCCGAGATAGATTTGTATAAACTGTGATAGATAGATAGGCAAATAGATAGATAGATAGATAGATAGATAGATAGATTTGTTTAGTCCGAGATAGATTTTATAGACTGTGATAGATAGATAGAGATAGATAGGATAGAAGAAACGTCCGGAGATAGATTTGTATAGACTGTGATAGATAGATAGATAGATAGATAGATAGATAGATAGATAGATGATTTGTTTAGATAGATAGAGATAGATTTGTTTATAGACTGTGATAGATAGATAGATAGATAGATAGATAGATAGATAGATAGATAGATTTGTTTAGTCCGAGATAGATTTGTATAGACTGAGATAGATAGATAGATAGATAGATAGATTTGTTTAGTCCGAGATAGATTTGTATAGACTGTGATAGATAGATAGATAGATAGATAGATAGATGATGGATTTGTTTAGTCAAGATAGATTTTATAGACTGGATAGATAGATAATAGATAGATAGATTTGTTTAGTCTGAGATAGATTTGTATTTTTTTTTGCTTTTTAGATTGTCCTTGGATAGACAGACAGACAGCTTCATAGACAGATATGAACAAATTAGGAAGTGGTAGATAGATAGATAGATAGATAGATAGATAGATAGATAGATTTATGTAGACTGAAATAGATAGACTTGAATAAACAGATAGTTATGAGTAGACATAGATAGATAGATAGATAGATAGATAGATAGATAGATAGATAGATAGATTTGAGTAGACTGAGATAGAAAATTTATAGATGATACATATATATATATATATATATATATATAGATAGATAGATAGATTAAATAGCAGACATTGCAGACCCTTTGGATTTTGTCGGGAATTTCTATTGCAAGGATCTTTTGGCCATATACAGCTACAATATTCAAATAACAAACGAATGGTTCGATTTATAAATGGGCAAAACGTCTTCTACCAAGAAAAATTGTTTTGCACGACGCAGGGAACAAACGCCTCTTTCAGCAGACCTAGAAATAAGATTCAATACGATCACTCCACGTCCATGGAAAACGCGGGAAGGCGCGAAGAATTGCATTCCTGGAAGTCTACATCAGCCATCCTGATGGAAGGCAGCAATGATTATGCTGGTTACAATATAGACGTTTCGTTTTTTTTTTTTGTTTTTTTTTCTTGTCCTTGGCCCAGTTAATATTTATTTGAAATCTTTTCGAGAGCAGCTGCCAGTTTTACTTTGTCGAACTTTTGAAATTACTCTTAAGTCAGGATTAAATAGCTGAGTTTCACACACACACACACACACACACACGCACGCAGAAGACACACACACGCAGAAGACACACATTTATTTGATTAATGGCGATATTAATTTTGATTTATTAAAATGTTCTATTTAATTCTTTCTATAAAATGTATATATATATATATATATATATATATATATATATATATATGAACACTGAAGTCAACACTTACATAGAAGCGACAGGCTGTTTCATGCTAGACGCAATATTGTGTAAGTGTTGACTTCAATGTTCACTTTCATATTTACACACGCTCTATCTCTGATATTGAGAAATGTATCCCATAAATATGATAATATTTCTTTATATATATGTACATATCTGTCTATATTTCTGAGATGAGGTATTATGTACATTATTCGGACTATTGTCCTCATCTTTTCCGCCATATGTATCACAACGTTTCGGCCGTTGTACGCTCCGGCCTTCTTCAGGAGGTTGGAATGTCCTTGAGGACACATGGCACAGTGGATAAAGGCGTTGGTTAGATCCAGTGACAGGACCCAAAGAGTGTGAGTTCAATACCCGGTTAAGGCAGTGGAGAACTTTCAGAGGGAAATTAACAGGAGATAACTGATAACTGACATCCATCAAACATGGCACGTGGAACTAGAACAGTCTACCCCCAGTTAGCGAAATAAAGGGTTCGGTACGACATTTCAACCACCTGAAGATGGCCGGAGCGTACAACGGCCGAAACGTTGTGATAGATATGGCGGAAAAGATGAGGACAATAGTCCGAATGATGTAATAATATATATATATATATATATATATATATATATATATATATATATATATATATATCGTTGTTGGTTTAGATGATCACTTACATTATGACGGCGTCAACCTGCAGCTTCAGGACTAGAAGATGCCAGTTTCACCAAAACCACCTCCTGTCATCCATTCCCTATCGCCTTTTGCCTTTTAAGCTTTGGTTAAAGGTAAAAGAAAATCGATGTATAAGAATGTTCCTATGGTGTAAATTTGTTGAAGGTGAATTTCAAATTGTTAGGATGTGGCCCAGGCACCTGATTTCATGATGTTCGTCTACAGCACATTTGGAATGAGACACGCAGCATCCATTTTTGAAACTGTACTGGACTGATTCGGTTAGTTAGAACTTACGGTTGCATCAAGTCATCTCAACTGTAAATTGATGAGACCGCACCGCCAGTCCAGTACTGCGCTTACATTCATAGAGTTTTGACGACAAAGCCAAAAGCATTATTCATTTTTAAAAATAAAAAATGAGGCACAAGGCCAAAAACCAATATATATATATATATATATAATATATATATATATATATATATATATATATATATATAGCACACACACACACACACACATATATATATATATATATATATAGAAAATAGATAGATAGATAGATAAAAAATATTAACAGCAATAAAAATCTTGTCGGCAATTAATAACTCTTTGAGGTGTTGGTATACCGTAACACAAAATAAACCGAACCAATATATACTGAGATAGATAGATAGATAGATAGATAGATAGATAGATAGATAGATAGATAGATAGATAAAAATATTAACAGCAATAAAAATCTTGTAATCATTAAATAACATTTTGATGTTTTGGTATGCAAAAAAACAAAACAAACTGAACCAATATATATATATATATATATATATATATATATATATATATATATATATATATATATATATATATAGAGAGAGAGAGAGAGAGAGAGAGAGAGAGAGATAGATAGATAAAAATTATTATCATCAATAAAAAATCTTGTCGGCATTAAATAATGGTTTATATGCCGTAAAACAATTCAGCCCAAACAATTCCAAGCACCCCGTCAAGTACACACTCATTCAAACACAAGTACGAAAGAGCTCATCCGAATAATTACCATGAAAGTATTTATAGAAAAGTCACAGAGAAGCAAAATAACCGCAGTGGGAATGAGACTGAAGCAGAGACGTCAGAACAGGTCCAATAATATTGCTGACTCACAATGAACCGTAATATGCCCTTCCGATAAGACATAATTCACTGACAGCGTTCAGTGTCTCTTAATTGAAAATCAAAATCCTTGTCATCAGGTATCTTTGAGCTCGGGGAAACGTTTATTGCACATGTCTTGGATTCACGTGAACAGCAAAAGCATCACAAAATGTCCGTACCTGTACAGTGGAGCGCCGGGCGTATCACCCGCGCTAATCGCTGATGGTGATTGGGTGTGGTTGGCCGAGGTGTCGGAAAGCGAGTAAATAAGTAAATATCTGTTGCGTGTCGAGTATTGTTGTTAATTTGTAATTTGGAGAGACACTTCAAAGGCGGTAAGGAGCATGTGCATTTGATAGAGAGAATTGCCTGCTTGCTTGTCGAAAATTGAAGATGATCATCTGAAGGCGAATAAAAGAAAAGACAAAAAAAATTCGCAAGAAGAAAAGAAGCGAGAAATTTTGAAAGAATTAAAAAACAAAAGAAACGAAAAACGAAAAGTGAAAGAAGGAAATAAGCGAGAAATCCTAGAATTGGGGACAAAAAAGAAAAAAAAATGTAGGAAAGAAGTGATATATCCAAGAAGAATTAAAGATAAAAAGAAAAGAAAAACGAAAAAAGGAAAGAAGGAAAGTTACAAGGAATCCAGAACGATTTAAAGATAGAAATGAAAAAGAAAATGAAAAGAAAGAAAGGAGCAAGTAATCCAGAACAAATTGAAGATAAAAAGAAAAGAAAAAACGAAAAAGAAAAGAAGGATAGTTATAAGGAATCCAGAACGATTTAAAGATTAAAAAAAGCAAACGAAAATAAAAAGAAAGAACGTGGAATCGAGAACTAAAGATAAAAAGAAAAGAAAAAACGAAAATAACACGAAAATATGCGTATGGATGAGAAAAGAAGATGGAAAAATAGCGTTAGAGAAGAAGTTGATACATGAAGATCTTTTTTAACAGAAGAGACAAAGAAAGAAAAGAAGAAGAAATTAGAGAAAACGAGAAAGATGAGTAAAAAAAAAAGAAAGAAAATAAACTATGATACAATTACTACCACTACTAATACAAACAACAAAAAGATATAGAAAATGATAGCGAAGGAGATGAAGAAAAGGAAGAAGAGGAAGATGACGAGGAGAAAGGGAAGAAAGAGAGAGAGAGAAGCAAAAGGGATTGACGAAGAAAAAAAAGAAAACGTGAGAAAGAGACAGACAGCAGTGAAGAAAAAAAATGGTGGAAACTTAGAGATGGAGCGAAACAAAATGGAAGGAAATAGAGAAGGAAAACCTGAAGTGTAAGAAATAATAATATTAGGGAATGAAGTGTAAGGAAAGAAAAAAGAAGTTGTAAAAAAAGTGTATCAAGAACGAAAAGGAAGAAGAAAAAAAAGAAGAATTAAGAAGAGAAAAAAGAAAAAATATCTTTGAAAAAAAAGTAGAATTAAAGAAGAAGAACGAGGTGGATAAGAAAGAGGAGGAGGGAATGAAGTAAGTAAACAGGAAGGAAGGAAGGAAGGAAGGAAGGAAGGAAGGAAGGAAGGAAGGAAGGAAGGAAGGAGTAGTAATAGTAGTAGTAGTTATAGAAATGATCCGGAATGATTAAAACGAAGAAAAAAGAAAGCGAGAAAAAAGAATTGGGAAGAGAAAAAGATGAAAAAACTTAGGAAAGAAGTACAATGAAAATAAGAAGAAGAACGAGGGGGAGCAGGAAGAGAAGTGAGCAGAAAGAAGAAGAAGAAGAAGAAGAAGAAGAAGAAGAAAGAGGAAGAAAGAGAAGGAGAAGAATTTAACACGAAAATCTCGGAGAATGAAGAAGACAATAGAAAGCGAGAAAGAATAAAAATAAGGATAAGAAGAAAAAGAAAAAATCAAAAAGCGTAATAGAAGAAGAAGAAGAAGAAGACGACGAAGAAGAAGAAGACGAAGAAGAAGAAGGAGAAGAAGAAGACGAAGAAGAAGAAGACGAAGAAGAAGAAGATGAAGACGAAGAAGAAGAAGACGAAGAAGAAGACGAAGAAGAAGAAGACGAAGAAGAAGAAGAAGAAGAAGAAGAAGAAGAAGAAGAAGAAGAAGAAGAAGAAGAAGAAGAAGAAGAAGAAGAAAACCGAGGAGAAGGAAGTGGAGAAGGAGGGGGAGCTAGAAGAAGTCAACAGCACGATGGAGAAAAAGCAAAAGATGACCCCCCCCAAAAAAAAAGGATGAAAAGAAAAAGACGGGGTAGGAAAAAACGCGAAATATAGCCAAAAAGATAAAAAGAACGTTTTAAAATACTACTACTACTAATAGTACTACTAATAATAATACTAATACTAATACTAATACACTACTACTACTAGTACTACTACTACTAATAATAATAATAACAAGATGATGATGATAACGGAGAAGAAGAAGAAGAAAAAGAAAGGAACAGAGAGAAAGAAGAACCGAAGACGAGAATGCTAAGAGAAAATAAGTGGGAACATTAAATGACGAGAAGAACAATGGAAAGAAGAGAAGAAGTCATGGAAAAAGGAAGAAAGAAAAAATGTTGATCAAATACTACAGGCATAAAGAAGCGTATAGCACCAGCCCGAAAATAGAAAGCCGTAATATGGAAGCGGTGGGTCTTGAGAATGGCAGGGCAGAACTAAAAAGATGGAAACGACAAAATGGAAACTTAAAAGCCGCCAAAGAAAGAACAAAAAAGGAAAAAGAAAAAGGAAAAAAAAGCACAGATAATTATGATATCAAAATTGATTATCAAGGACTAAAAATGCATCAAGAAAAAGGAGGAGAAAATATCAAGGCGGGAAAGGCTTATGGTTCGAGGCAGAGATAAGAATCTGACGATAGAAGGAGAGTAAGGAGGAAAGAAAAGGAGAGCAGCGAAGAGGCTGAGATGAAGAAATGCGGCAGATCAGTTTTTGCGAGGCAAATCAAAAAGGAAGAAATCAAATCCCGTCTATGTCTCCGCATTTAGCTGATTGGATATCGATGAACGGAACTCGCTTAGCGACAACTCTGACGTGCGTGAACATATACACGAAGGTGGGTTTAATACCAACACTATAATTGAAACCCACCAGAATGACACATGCATAAAAGATATATTAATTACTTTATTCAGATCTACACATGCTTACTCGTTCTGTTTGTTTCGAAATGCATTATTTCTAACTTATATTCCATGACTACAGGAATGGCAGACGCAAATCGTTAGAGGCTAGAGATGAATCGAGACGCGCAGTTTCAATTCTAGCAATCGATTAGTCGAGTGTTTGTGATATTGTCCTTGAAAGAATATCCTGCCCATTATGATTAGTTGTTCTGTTATTAAATTTAAATGCAATATCAATCGCTATCTACTGTTCTCCTGATTACTCTTTCCTCTTCCCGTTCATTATTAATGTTTCTCTTCCTAATTCATCCACACTCAGTAAAACCTTGTGTCTTAGTGGCTTTACTACCTTGCTTAAAGGAATTCCTTTCCGGCTCCGTGCTTTTCAGCCAACTTTAATCTGTAAAAAATTAAATGCAATGCCAATCGCTATCTACCGTCCTCCCGTTTACTCTTTTCTCTTCCCGTTCATAATTAATGTTTCTATCCCTCATTCTTCCACACCCTTGCGTCTTAGTGGCTTTACTGTCTTGCTTGTGGAATTCCTTTTGGGCTTCTTTCTTTACAGCCAACTTTAATCTGCCAAAATTTAAATGCAATGTCAATTGCTATATACTGTCCTCCTGATTACTCTTTTCTCTTTCCTCTCATTATTAATGTTTCTATCTATCATTCTTCCACACCCTGTAACCCCCTTCCGTCTTAGTGGCTTTACTACTTTGCTTGTCGAATTCCATTCCCGCCCCATGCTTTCTAGCCAACCTTAATCTGCCAAAATTTAAAAGCTATGTCAATGGCTAACTACTGTCCTTCTGATTACTCATCTTTTGTTCCCACGCCTTACAAATGTTTGTTTTCTAATTCTTCCACACCCAAGAACTCATTAGGTCTTAGTGGCCTTACTCCCAAGATTGGAGTGAACTCAATTTAAATATATATATATTACAGATTATTTGATCGAATATGCTTATCATTGCTTTTTTAGTCTATTGTCGCTGCTGGCAAGTTTTTGAACATCCACAAGGGTGTATGGTACGCGTTGTTTCGTCGTCCTGGGTATTGCGATAAAGATCATCTGGCAGCAAGGCATCTTATTTGAAGATTGGAGCTTTTGAGGAGGGCGAACCACCACGTAACTGCTGTGGTTCCTAGGTCTAACCTGATCCGGGGTGGTAGCACGTATTAGGGTCCCAACTATGGGCAAATAGTTAACCCATAAACAAAAATAACCAGTAGATATTTATAATAAAATGACCAAAATTAGTTTTTTCTTAGCAAAATGACAATAAATGCTTCATTAAAAAATATAAAATACATTTTTATAATAAAATTACCAATAATTCATTTTATGATCGTATATATATATATATATATATATATATATATATATATATATATATATATATGAATAGATATAGTTTTAAGGTGTGCTATATTTACTGACTAAAGTGCTCAATATCATAGATAGAGCATATGTAAATATAAATATAAAATTGCATTCATCAGGCCACCTGGGGATTGCATCTAGGATGAAACAGCCTGTCGCCTCTGAGTGTTGATTTCAACGTTCACTTTATATATATATATATATATATATATATATATATATATATATATATATATATATATATATATCCTAATGTACAGCCAGTTAGATCATGTGTACAGGAATGTAGGACGCCCATGGCTAAGATACAAAGACAAGCTGAAAAGCAACTTGTCAACAGTCAACATACCACATAGCACCATTGAGCGCTTAGCATTGAAGCAGGTAGAATAGAGATCAATCTGCTTGTTTGAATCATCTTCAAGAAGCGAGAGCAAGATCTAAAAGGTCAGCCAATCTAACAGTGATCGCATCTCACAATCCTCACACTTGCTCCATATGTGGTCTCCTTTGTAAATCACTAGCGGGTCTTAAATGCCAAGATTATCGCACAAACTTTCATAACTGAATCAAAATCAATAAGCTGTCAGATCCTCATACGTCGAAACCGAGGGGAGAGTCCATTATATATATATATATATATATATATATATATATATATATATATATATATATATATATATAATGGGTTTGATTTTAACGTGATATAAGTCACTGCAAAGATAAGATAGTTTGATAAATAGAATGGTAGTTTGATAAAAGTCGTTTGGCGTGTTGGAAAACGCTGAAATATATATTTGAAAAATATCGCTTCTGTGTTTCTATGAAAAGACTCCGATAAATGAACGCAACTTCTATATTTTTTCACAATGCAATGTTATTTGACAATCAACAGGGTTAAAATAATTTTATTCTTTTTTTCGCCTGCACCCTGGCAAAGACAGACCGCCTTTTCCAAAGATTTTGCCCGGCGTATTTCAAGCTCAAAATGTCGGCAGATATTCTATATTTCTAGAACTGACATTCAACCCATAGTCAAAAAATGACACCACGGTATTAAATGTCAAATTATCCTCCTAATTCTAATAGAAAATCGATTTTATTTTTATTAATTATAAAATAATTTTACGATTTACACTGTTGGCATTATTATTATACACAGTCTATATGACGTTTCGGTCGTTGTACGCTTAGGCCTTCTTCAGGATCTGTCTATATTTATGAGATGAGGGATTTTAATTATTTACACTATTTACATTGTTCGGACTTTTCTCTTCATTTTCATTTCTATATTTATGACGTTTCGGTCGTTGTATAGGCCTTCTTCAGGATCTGTCTATATTTATGAGATGAGGGATTTTAATTATTTACACTATTTACATTGTTCGGACTTTTCTCTTCATTTTCATTTCTATATTTATGACGTTTCGGTCGTTGTACGCTTAGGCCTTCTTCAGGATCTGTCTATATTTATGAGATGAGGGATTTTAATTATTTACACTATTTACATTGTTCGGACTTTTCTCTTCATTTTCATTTCTATATTTATGACGTTTCGGTCGTTGTACGCTTAGGCCTTCTTCAGGATCTGTCTATATTTATGAGATGAGGGATTTTAATTATTTACACTATTTACATTGTTCGGACTTTTCTCTTCATTTTCATTTCTATATTTATGACGTTTCGGTCGTTGTACGCTTAGGCCTTCTTCAGGATCTGTCTATATTTATGAGATGAGGGATTTTAATTTTTACACTATTTACATTGTTCGGACTTTTCTCTTCATTTTCATTTCTATATTTATGACGTTTCGGTCGTTGTACGCTTAGGCCTTCTTCAGGATCTGTCTATATTTATGAGATGAGGGGACTATTTACATTGTTCGGACTTTTCTTCATTTTCATTTCTATATTTATGACGTTTCGGTCGTTGTACGCTTAGGGCCTTCTTCAGGATCTGTCTATATTTATGAGATGAGGATTTTAATTATTTACACTATTTACATTGTTCGGACTTTTCTCTTCATTTTCATTTCTATATTTATGACGTTTCGGTCGTTGTACGCTTAGGCCTTCTTCAGGATCTGTCTATATTTATGAGATGAGGGATTTTAATTATTTACACTATTTACATTGTTCGGACTTTTCTCTTCATTTTCATTTCTATATTTATGACGTTTCGGTCGTTGTACGCTTAGGCCTTCTTCAGGATCTGTCTATATTTATGAGATGAGGATTTTAATTATTTACACTATTTACATTGTTCGGACTTTTCTCTTCATTTTCATTTCTATATTTATGACGTTTCGGTCGTTGTACGCTTAGGCCTTCTTCAGGATCTGTCTATATTTATGAGATGAGGGATTTTAATTATTTACACTATTTACATTGTTCGGACTTTTCTCTTCATTTTCATTTCTATATTTATGACGTTTCGGTCGTTGTACGCTTAGGCCTTCTTCAGGATCTGTCTATATTTATGAGATGAGGGATTTTAATTATTTACACTATTTACATTGTTCGGACTTTTCTCTTCATTTTCATTTCTATATTTATGACGTTTCGGTCGTTGTACGCTTAGGCCTTCTTCAGGATCTGTCTATATTTATGAGATGAGGATTTTAATTATTTACACTATTTACATTGTTCGGACTTTTCTCTTCATTTTCATTTCTATATTTATGACGTTTCGGTCGTTGTACGCTTAGGCCTTCTTCAGGATCTGTCTATATTTATGAGATGAGGATTTTAATTATTTACACTATTTACATTGTTCGGACTTTTTCTCTTCATTTTCATTTCTATATTTATGACGTTTCGGTCGTTGTACGCTTAGGCCTTCTTCAGGATCTGTCTATATTTATGAGATGAGGATTTTAATTATTTACACTATTTACATTGTTCGGACTTTTTCTTCATTTTCATTTCTATATTTATGACGTTTCGGTCGTTGTACGCTTAGGCCTTCTTCAGGATCTGTCTATATTTATGAGATGAGGGATTTTAATTATTTACACTATTTACATTGTTCGGACTTTTCTCTTCATTTTCATTTCTATATTTATGACGTTTCGGTCGTTGTACGCTTAGGCCTTCTTCAGGATCTGTCGATTTTAATTATTTACACTATTTACATTGTTCGGACTTTTCTCTTCATTTTCATTTCTATATTTATGACGTTTCGGTCGTTGTACGCTTAGGCCTTCTTCAGGATCTGTCTATATTTATGAGATGAGGGATTTTAATTATTTACACTATTTACATTGTTCGGACTTTTCTCTTCATTTTCATTTCTATATTTATGACGTTTCGGTCGTTGTACGCTTAGGCCTTCTTCAGGATCTGTCTATATTTATGAGATGAGGATTTTAATTATTTACACTATTTACATTGTTCGGACTTTTCTCTTCATTTTCATTTCTATATTTATGACGTTTCGGTCGTTGTACGCTTAGGCCTTCTTCAGGATCTGTCTATATTTATGAGATGAGGTATTGTAATTATTTACTCTATTTACATTGTTCGGACTTTTCT